TGGGTTTTTAATTCCTGTGCTCACAGGGTCCTACCAGCCAGACCTCAGCAGGCAGGGTGGGCTGCTATTATGCACAGCCCCCTTCTCCTTGGGGTCCTGCTTCCTTGCGGCCCCACCCCAGCAGGGTCAGTACTGCAAGCCCACCCCCTTCACACCGCTGCCAAGTCTCTCTGAACCCAGGTGAGATACTTCCCCCTCCAGGCAGCCTTCCCAGACTGTTAGCCTTAGAGAGCTGCCTTCCCACCTCTCTAATTCCTCCTTGCCCCTGCCTCCAGGCTCCTGAAAGGGTGAGGATGAGCCTGTCCCCTGCCCCGGAGCTCCTGGGGGCAGCAGGCTTTGTCCTCTCCTGGGTGTGTGTGTGTGTGTGTGTGTGTGTGTGTGTGTGTGACAGTTTTGGGTGTCAAAGTCTCTTGCATTCGAGCCCAGCTCGGCCATTTAGTTGCGGGACAGCTGGACTTTGACTTAACCCTCCCCAAGTCTGTTTTTCCCTCTGCAAATCCAACCCGTCCCCCAGGCAGTTGTGCAAAGCAATGAGCGTGGCCCAAGCCGACGCCAGCAGCAGCTGCTCCCACTCTCAGCCTGCGGGCCCTCCTGGGGTTGGGGCTGGCGATGGAGGCCAGCTCCTCACTCTGATCACCTGACCAGGCTCTACTGAGCACTGAGGACCCAGGTGGCCCCAGACCACCTTGGAGAGCTGTGCCCATTACCTACCCTCCTGGGAGTCCAGCACCTGAGGCCTTTCCTCGGAGGCTCATCTGATACAGCTGAGCCATCTCCCTCAGCGTCTCCGCCGAGTACAGGCCAATGGGGTTGTTATACTGCCTGGGCTGGCTCGAGCCCTGGGGCACTTTCGGGCTGAGCGAGTGCAGGGCTCCCTCCGAGCTGGTCTTGGCCCCCGGGCTGCCCTGAGGAGGACCAGGGTCAGAGGCCTCCATGTGGGAGGAGAAGGCGGAGGTCTGGGAGAAGGAGGCGCTAAAGGTCTGCCTGACCTCCGTGCCCGGGCCGGCCCGCACCTCGGGGTTGGTGTCCAGAGCAGGGTCCTGGCACAGGGTAGCCGCCATGCAGGGGAGAGAGAAGAGAGCAGTGAGAGGCCACACGCATCCAGTGCTTCTGTGTGGACCTGAAACAGAGGGTTAGTGCCGGGCCGCGGCGCAGCTGCTGCTCTGGGCTCAGGGGGCCGGACAGCGCACCTGGAAGGGGGCGTTTGTCAGGAAGAGCAGGGGGCACGAAGCTCCTGGCCCAGGGCTGGCACCCCCTGGACAGAAAGCCAAGCCAAGCCAAGCCCAGCTGCCTGCGGGGCTAGAGGAGGCTGGAGCAAGGGACTGTGGGTGGGTGGGGGGCACCCAACTCCACTCCATGTCTGTTTCTCCTTCTCCTGAGTAAGGGCCCCTGGTGGGCGCAGCCCAGCCTCCTGTTCTTCTGACCCCACTCGGTGATGCCCCCACATGGCCAGTGAGGGGCCCCAGCTGGCAGTGGGCAGGCAGAGTGGAGGTGCAGGAGGGGAAACCGAGGAAGTAGGGGCTGGCATTTGGCCCCTTGGGCTCACCTCTGCAACTTCCCCTAAGCAGCCGCTGCCTATTTCCCAATCTGCCACCCTCCAAGCCCGTCAGCCTCTTCCTCTCCCCTCATCCTGTCCCGGGCCCACTCCGCCTCACTGAAGAAACAGGGCTCAGTGTAAGGTCACGCAGGGAGGGTGGTGGGGTGGACTCCCAGGCCTGGGGCCCACAGGGCTGAGCTGCTTAGAGGAAGCTGGGGAGGAGCCTGGGGCACAGAGCCAGGTCTGTGGCCAGGGCTCCACCCTCTCTCCTGCGTCCTGGTCACCACCAGCATTTGGGGCTGGGCTCTATGGCTGTGCAGTTGGGAGGAGGAATGGAAATCGGAGGAAGAAAGCCTAGATCGGAGGAGAAAACCCGGGAGCCAGCAGGCCCCTCCACACCCAGGGGCTCCTCCAGGATGCCCGCTCAAGCTGGGCCTCCAGCTCTCCTGCCACAGTCCCCTGTCCCCGGCCTCAGGAAGGGAGGGTCAGAGCCCTGGACACTGTGCCCCCTGCTGTGAGGACGCGGCCTAAGCTGCTGGCATGTGGGCCTAGCCATGAGGCCCTGGCAGGTGGCACCCAGGCAGGCGCTCCCCTCCCCGGGCCGGCCCCCTTCCCAGGGTCAGCGACGGCGGGCAGTGGTGGGGCAGGACTGACCCCTTGCCATGGGACTGCACCCCAGGAGCCGCGTCTCGGAGTGGAGTCGGCCACCAAGTCAGCACCTACCTTCTGGTGGGGGATCACTGGCAGAGGAGACTGGATCGGGGGCGCTGCCGTGGAGATGGGAATGGGTCGCTTCGACCTGGAGAAACCAGAAATGAGGCCACGTGAAGACAGTCACGCCTGGGCCAGGAGCTCCGCGGAGAGCCATGGAGGCCGGGCAGAGAGCCCGAGACCCGCTGCCCACCGCGCAGGCAGGTGGCTCCAGGAAATCGCTCATCTAACCAGGGTGGAAAAGCATGGTCTTGGGCACTGGGCAGCCACAGGCCTCTGCTGGGGCCTTGGGGGGCTGCCTGGAGGAGAGAAAGCAGGGGAGGCCTGGCTTCCAGGCCTGACGGCCCACACCTGGCAGCACCAGACCCACCCTCCCAGCCTCGTCTGTCTAGTGAAGCAGACGTGGAGGAGCTTGACGATGACTTGGGCCTGGTCCTCCTCTGACCCAGCTGCCCTGCGAGGCCTTGGGCACAGGGCTGGGCCCACCCCCAGCCTCCCCGTCTGGAGGGCTCCACCTACTTCTGCAGGGTGAGGCTCAGGTTGTAGCTGGCGGACTTGATCTTGTTCTGGGCCTCCAGGTGGGTCATGGTGTCTGTGTTCACGCCGTCGATGGCTACCACGAGGTCGCCCTGGCTGAGCTGGGACTGTGCCGCCTTGCTGCCTGGTGTGATCTGAGAGGGCGCAGGTGGGGGATGAGCATCAGGAGGGTGGGCCTGAGGTTGGGTCAGGCTTCGGGGAAGCGTCACCTGGAGTCACGGGTAGAGGCCTGCCATTTTGTCTTATACTGTGGCTGGCACCGCGGATCCCCAGCCGATCCCTCCTGCTGGCACACAGCCGCCGCGTCTCCTAGTGCCTGTGTCTGTGTGTGGCTGGTGGATGTGGAGGGAGGTGGTGCACGCCCCCCCAGCCTGTCCCCAGCAGTCGGTCTCGTACCCTGCACCCTGCACTCTCTCTTCTCGCCGGCTGACTGCATGCAGAGGACCCAGAGGACAGCTGAGCTACTAGCAGAAGAGTCCTGAGCCCTGGGGCCGCACTTGGAGGAGAACGGCCCCGGCGCGCTGCACTGGAGGCTGCATGAGTGAGAAACGAACTTTCCCTGTGCCGGGCCGCTGGGCTACACGGGCTCTTGCTACACCAGTTTGCTCACTGTACCACCTGCACCTGAGAACCCACGAAGCACCTCCCAGGCTCCCGAGGGAGGCGATAGGCAGGAGCGGAGGCTCAGCACCACCACAGAGATGCTGCCAGGTCACAGGTAGGATGAATGCCCCTCACAGAGCATCCTCGTGTGAGTGCCTAGAGCTGCCATGCAAGGGAGCCTGGCAGGCTGGGCGCTGTCAACCCTGCCGGGTGAGCAGGCTGGCACACGGGGCAGGGTTTGGTGCTCTGAGGCTGGCTTCATCCTGCCCGAAGGGGAGGTGTGCTTGTGGGGGCCAGTTCCCTAACCCTGCACCCTAATGACAACACAGAATGTTAGAGTCTGCCTCCTGCCCCCCATCACAGAATGCCAGGCCTGCGCCACCTGGAGCACCCCACACAATGCCAGGAAGGCCACACCCCAGGAACATTACGTGGGACTCTGGCTCCGACCCCACTGACATCATGGGCAGTGCCCCACTCTACACACCTGGCTCCCGCCACAGCGCCTGGGGCTGTGGAGACCCTGCCAGCAGGGACATCACGGGAGACTCTGGAGGCCTCGTGACGTCACCTGAAATAGTTTGGTGGCCGCTGCGGGGACATTCCGGGAATGTGATGAAGCCCCACCTCTAAAGATGCCTGATGACACGCCTGAGGCTGCCCCACCGGAGACGCCAGGTGGCGCTGTGCGTCGCTGGAGTGACTGCGACATGTGGAAGGCCAGGCAGGCCCCACCCCGAGTGGCGCTGGGAAGAGGAACCTGGCTTTGCCCCAACTGCCCACCAGCCAGCCTTCCTGGTTCTCTGGGCACATGGCCCCACCGTCCTGGCTGGGCCCCAGGGACGAGGCCGGCTCCCATGCTGGCCAAGGTCTCGGGACCATCTTAGAAGGAGCCAGAGAGGACCCGGGGACAGTCGCCTGTCCTTGGGTGTCAAGCCTGACAGGGCTTTGGCCCGGCAGGACTCTCCCCTAAGCCAGAGCCCTGAGGCCACTGCCCGCCAGCCTGTGCCCAGGTGTGCTCGGCAGGGCGGCCCGAATCAGCGGATGACCCCGTGACCACAGCAAGAGTGCCACCTGCTTGCACCAGCCACCTCTGCCCAGAGCAGCCTCCCGCCCTGGGTCTGCTGAGACCATGAGGACGGGAGAGAAACGAACCCGGGACGCGGTCGGCGGTGGGCCTGCAGTCCAGCCTGCTCCCCAGGACTTCTAGCTACCGCTTGGCCCGCCTCTCACACTGCACACCACCCTCCTGCCGACCCAGACCCAGGAGCCTCCACCAACACAGGCGCCAAACAGGGCCCAAAAGCAACAGCAAAGGAAAACAAAACACCGCAGGCTGAGAAGGGACTCCTGAGGCAGGAGCCGCTCCCTCCTCCGGGCTTCTCCGGCCTGTGCTCTCCCAGCGTCTTATATAGACATTGTCTACAAAAGTGGAACAGATTTACTCTGAACACCCAAATACCCACCACCAAGGCTCTAATCGACGGTGACATTTCACTCAACTTGCTGCTCCACGTGCCGGTCCCTCCCTCCATCCACCAGGCCAGCTTCGCCAGAAGCGCTTCAGAGAAAGCACAGCCCCGGGGCTCCCATCGGGATGAAGTGAGCAGGCCACTGCCCTCCCGTGGACTGCCCGCAGGGCCCCCCAGCCCACGCCCCCACACCAGGGCTCCCCAGATGCTTCTAAGGAACCACAGAGAAGGCCCATCACCCTGTGGCAGGGAGCTCCCAGGTGAGGGGGCGCTGTCCACACAGACCCCAGACAGCAGGGCAGGCCTCTGCCTACAGAAGTGATGAGTGCCAGGCCCAGAGCCACGTCCAGAGCATGGTGGATGACAGCGTGAGCAAGGACACCAGAATGACATCCAAGAGCCGCTGGGCCAGATCAGCTCAGGAAGCGGGTGGGGGTGGGGGTGGGGAATCTGGAATGTCCTGCGCTTGGAGCCCCTCTGGGCACGGGCTGGCTCACACCAAACTTCCCCTTGCCAGGCCCTGCCTTGCTCTCGGCAGCCTCAGGTACCCATGGGTGGTCCTTGTTCCCAGGGTAGAGCTCGGCCTCCCTGAGGCCTGGTCAGGACCAGGCTCCTCTGCCCCTGGCGCCTCTCTCCCTGCACCTGTGTCTGCCCATCCTGGCTCAGCTGCCTGGCCTTTGGCCACCGAGCAGATCCAGGACCCTGGCTGCCACCCTCCTGCAGGGCGTGCTCTTCAGTTCTGCCAGCTTTCCGCGGAGAGGCGGGGTGCAGGCTGGGATCTCCAGCTGGGCCCAAGGGTCATCACATCCCTCCCACCGCAGGAGAGGTGGGCCCACAGAAGGGTGGGGCACCCTGCGCTCTTGCCCGGAGCCCAGCGCTGTGCAGGGTGCGCTCCAGGCATAAGACACACCGGGGTCTCTTGTTGGACTCTATCCCTCTCTGCTTTCCTCACCCCAGGAAGGGCCCAAAGCAGCTAAATCCTTGGGGGTTTTCTTTTCTTTAGTTTTTCTCCTCTTAAGCATTTGAAGGGCTCTTTGTAATTGTTGCTTCATCCCACTGCACTTTCCGCCTCTCCCGTCACCAGCTGGGAACCAGTCCTGGCAGAGCTCCAGGCCTGCGTCTCGGCTCACAGGTTCCCGCAGATGGGCTCAAAGTGCTTGGGGCCAACATTGCCACCAGGAGTCCTTCCACCTGCTGAGCCAGGTCCTCAGGGGCCCCGAGGGGCACAGGGCTAACGATGCCAGCGAGCAGCTGTGGCCCCACCACCTGCAGGAGCCCATGGGGAGGAAGTGAAGGGACGAGCATGGACTTTGGTCTGAGCCAGACCTGAGGTTGCAGTGCCAGCCCCATGCCCTGTGCGTGTGGAGAGAAGGACACCCTGGTCCCAGGACGGCGAGCATTGCACTGTTAACGGAATTGTGTAAGGAGGGCACAGAGCTGAGGGAGTTTCAAGGAAGCTCCCAACTGAGGAGCCAAGTGCTGCCCCAGCTCCTCCCCCTGGAGGAGCCAGCGGGGCGGGGCTGGGAGGCTGCATCCCTGGCTCCTGAACGAGAGCCAGAGCCGGCAGAGTGGGGTGCACAGGGCTTCCCTGGCTGAGCAGCCTCAGCCACATGCCGCCCCTGGAGGGCCTCACACCCGCCGGGGAGAGATGCTCTGTCCAGGCTGCCGGGGAAGCAAGGAGCCGGTGGGGCTCAGGGGCACCCATGCCACTGGCTCCCCAGTTCCCAGGCCACTGGCAGCTCGAGGGCAGCTGGGCTCCCCGAGGAAGTCCCCAGCCATCTCTCCCTGTGCTCAAAACCAGACAGGCCCTGCCTGCCTCCCCCTCCAGATTTGTCCACGTCAGGGTGATGGGAAGGGTGCGGGGCGGGGGAAGGGCAGCCGGTGGATGCTGGGCTGGTGTCGCTTCCAGCATCTCCTCCCCACCCTTCCCGGCGGCCCATCCCCGGGGATTTCCGTGGAGCCCTAAGTGCATCTAACATTGTGCGATTAGATTACTGCCTGCCACGCGCAGAGTCCCATCTGGACTCCCCTGGGGCCTTGCTCCATCCCCCACCCTCCTACTGGAACTTCTGTCTCCCCATGGCCCCACTTCCAACCCCAGCCTGGCCAATAAGCAAGGCAGAGTCTTATCTAAGCTTCAAAAGCGTCTCCTTGCACAGAGGGTTCTAGGGCAGGGAAAACACTATACGCTGGATGGTAAACGCATGTCATCGAACATTTGTCCAAAACCACAGACTGTATAACAACAGGAGTGAGCCCTAATGAACCGGTGATGATGATGTGTCCATGGAGGCTCATCAGCTGTAACAACTGCACCAGTCCGGTGGGAGAGGCTGACAATGGGAGGCTGTGCATATGCAGGGGCGCGGGGAGGGGGATGACGGAAAATCTCTGTACCTTCCCCTCAATTTTGCTGTGAACCTGAAACTGCTCTAAGAAAAGTCTAAAGATAAAGTCTCTCCCCGCTGTCTGACCTGCTCCAGCGCCTCCTGCCGCGTTCCCCTCCCTCCTTACCTCAGGCTTCCTCAAGAAGGGACAGCAGGCCCTGCCTCTGCCACCTCCCAGCGGCTCACACCAGCCATCTGGCTCTGGCCCCTACACTCCACACAGGACAACGACCTCCCTGTGCCCAAAGCCAGGGGTCCCTGGTTCCTCTCCAGCTGACCACACCATCCCCTTCCCTGGCCCTCCGAGGGTCTCTCGAGAGCTCTCCTCCTCCAGTCCAGGCCCACAGCTCCGTCTGTGTCCGGGAGGTCACCTGCAGAATGCTCCCGGGGGCCCATCCCGCCCGGCAGGCCCGCAGAGTACTGGGACACAGCAAAGTCCCTCCAAGCCTCTTAAGACGGTTCCTGGGGAGAGGGGAGGCGTGGTCCTAGGGGCCTTTGCAACGATAGACTCTGCCCTGGACGGGAGGGGCCTGTGTAGAGAGGGGCAGAGCTCTCCCAGCCTGGAGGGCCGCCCAGCAGGGCCCAGGGGCCTCCTCACGCTTGCTGCCGCCCCCCTGGAGCCTGGGGCGGTCCATGAAGTCGGCCCAGGGCCTTGGAGGTTCTGGTCCCTAGGACCCCAGCCAGCCTCATGCCCAGTTCCTTTGGGTGTCACAGGGCAGGGAGGTCTGCCAGGGAGGGCCGCTAAGACGCATTCCCGTGGTGGGCCTGTGGGCTCTCCAGTTTGCCCCTGGGTGGGGGCGCCTCGGAGGCTTGCCTGACCTTAAAGGCTATAAACAGCTCGGCCTGTCAGCACTTTGAGGCGCTGCCCAAGAAGCAGCTCCAGCAGCTCTGGATTCCAGGAATTGCCGGCACAGTTGCCCCAGAATAGTCTTGGCCTTCCCCTCCCTGGGGACCCTCTGTCCTCTGGGTCCCCATTGTAGCTGGCAGAGTCTGACAAATACTGGAGCTGAAAACTGCCAGGGAGCTGGTCCTCAGGGCCGGTCCCCTGGCCTGCCCCGCCCAGGCTGAGGCCCCCTCCCCGCCATTCTCACAACTAGTGCCCAGGGACAGCAGGTGCCAAGGACTCCACAAGTGCCCGTTGGTTCCATAGCATCTCACAAAGGCACTGTCTTCCTTTTACAAGGTGAACCCACCTCTCCAAGGTGACAAGCTGGGAGGAGCAGAGCCGGACAACAGCACACGCCTCTCCCATTAAGGGGAGGACCCAGCGTGCACCCAGGGGCAAGGCCCAGAGCAGGCCCAGACTCTGGCCCAGTGGCCGGTGGGGCTGGCACAGGCTGGCACAGGTGGGGCGGGCCTTTGTTGCTACTCCCACCCCTCCCCCACTTCCTGGAGAACTGGCTGGTGTGGGGAAGGCGGGGAGAGGGCAGCTCCAGTTGCAGGCCCAGCACCTGTCCCGGATAAATAAGGCCCTTCCCTCCACCCTCTGAGTCTCCTTTCTGAACCCCCTTCTCTATGGCTCCTCAGGCTGAGACCCACAGAAAGGAGGCCAGACAGGCTGCTGCTGTCCCAGGGGAGATGCTGAGGGGCCTGTGGGCAGGATGGGGTGGGTTGAGCTCCCACCAGCCTGCAGGTGGCAGGCGGCAGCCTTCTCACAGGAGGAGCTACAGCTGACAGGTGCCTGGCCCCACTCAGTGCTCCTCTACCAGCCCCAGCCGGAGGGGGGAAGGGATCGCCACAGGAGCTCCTGTGCAAATTCAAGCCTGTTTGCTTGGCTCTGGCCCTGCCTGGCTGACCACCCGCTCTGGATTCAGCGCAGGTGGTCGTGAGGGAGGCCCCTGTTGAGAAGGGGCAGGCCCTGCCTCCGGGAACCCCCATCTGCAATATGCCCCCAGTCCCCAAGCACCCACTGGTCCCTGTGGGAAGTGAACTGCAGCTGGAGTGGCCCTGCACCCCCGTGGGGGAGAAGTTCCTGGTGCAGAAGGGCCTGGAGAAGCCCAGCAGGCAAAACCACAGCACTGGGGGGAGGGCAGGGCTGGGGGCTCGGGCAGGCCTGCAACACGGAGCCTGGGGCACCCCAGTCTGGGGATCAGCAGCCACCAGAGCAGCAGACCAAGAGACTCCAAGCCCAGGGGAGGCCCAGTGCCCCGTCCAGCTTGCTCCATGGCCTTGGTAACTTGGGGGGTGCCCCTGTAGGAAGCAGGGAGGCCATGTGCCCTGCCCTGATGCCTTGTCTGGGCTGCGGGTTCTATTCTAAAAAGTCCCCCTAGTCATGGCTCCAGCACATCCCAATACACCTGGTGCCTTCAGCGAGGACATGCTTCCTCCTGCCCCGCTTCAGGCCTCTGTGCTGCATCCAGCCCCGCTGGCCAGGCCAGGCGGCACATAGCCCCTGGTGAGGTCATGGCCATGCTGGCGTCACTGAGCCAGGAGGCTGATCTCCACCCCAGGGATGGGGCAGGGAGCCCCAGAAGGAGGCCTTGAGGATGGTGGGGCTGGGGCTGGGCAGAGTTGGGCTCAGTCCCAGGTGGGGTGGCCAGGGGACCTATGAGAGTGAGAGTGGACAGGGAGGAGACTGCAGCCATGGGGTGGGAACGTGCAGGGTGTCCTGGGCTCAGAGGCCCGTGTCACCACACCCTGAGGCAGGGTGTGCAAGCCCTGGCTGTCTTCTGAGTATGGCCCCCGGCTCCCGGCCCGTAGTCTGGAGGGTGCGGGCTCAAATTGGAATGAGCCAGTTCTCCAGGACGAGGGAGGCTAAGGTCGTTTCCCGGGCCAGCACCCCACCCCCAAGAAATGCAGCCTCCCTAGCACCCTGAGGGGCTTTCCTTGGGGTCCCTCCAAGGGCCCACGTCAAGTTCCACAACAAGGACTCCTCCTCCAATGGGGGTGTTGGCTTCCCACCACCCTGCCAAGCAGCTGTCAGGCCTTCCCCAGCTGCCCACCTCGGTGCTTCCCCGTCCCGAGAAAAAGCTATCTTCCAGGTGGGCAGCAACCAGACACTCCTGCCCACCCACCACCCTCCCATGACAGCCCGGGGCCTCCGCCGGCCCCCTCGTGCCCACACCAGGACTGCTGGGGGCTGCTCTATGCCTCACATACCTCACAGTCCACCCCGGGCCCCAGGGCCTTCAGCCCCAGCTCTGCAAGACTCGCAGAGTCCCTTTGCTTGACAAATGTTGCCTGAGCATCTATGCTCTAGGCCCTGGTGTGGGTCCTGGGGACTCGGCAGTGGTTAAGACAAGGTTCTCTCAGCAGATCTAGCTGCTCCTCTCGCTGGGTGTCAGCGCCCCCACAGTCAGCAGTCTGTGACCTGCCCTCGGGCAGTGCCGTTCCTGATCGCAGGCAGACCCGGCAGGACAGGGTCATTTTCCCTGTCGGGCAGTGCCGTTCCTGATCGCAGGCAGACCCGGCACATTTTCCCTAGCGGGCGGCGAGCATGGGAATAAGATGTGAGACAGGCAGGTGAGCAGCCCTGGTGAATGGGCAGGGGCTTAGGCAGGTGAGGGAGGAAGCCCAACCTCAGGAGGCCAGCCAGTGCCAGTTCCCTGGAGGGGACTGTTATCTTGGGTCTGAGACAGAGTGGGTGCTGGAGCCCAGTAACCAGCCAAATCCAGCCCTGAGCCCTGACAGCGAGGTGGGCAGTCGGCCCATCTACCTATCCGCCCCCGTTACCTGCCCGCTCCACCCTGTGGGTGCTCTCTCCCCAAAGCCCACTTCCAGGGAGACACTCCCGGCCTGGGGGCACCCTGAGCCCACCCTGCCGAGGAAGGGCTGCCCTCCCTTCCCTTGTCTGCCAGCCCTTCTTGGCTTAAAGCACCCTCAGCTTGCCCATTACATTCCACATTTCGCAGGCCGGCCAGTTTGGCAGGCAAACAGCTGCGGCAGAGACCAGGGGGCTATGGCCGGCAACATTCAGTTGGCGCCAATCCCAGCCCCCAACTGCGGGTGGGGTGTGCTCTGATTTTCAAGAGCCTTGAGGAAGACGGACAGATGGACAGACACACCGTTCTCTGAACATGCCAACCCCTGCGGCACCAGGCCGCGGCAGCGCACTCACCCGGGAGATGGTGAGCGGCATGTTGAAGTCCTTGCCCCCTTGCAGACGGAAGCCCCAGGGCCCAGGCCCCGCCAGGGTCACGCTGTAAGACATGCTGGTGCAGACAGCGGCAGCCTCTGTGGACGGAGGAGTGGAGTGAGAGGCCCTCGCGCACCCTCCCAGCCCAGGCCTCTGCCCCGATCCCCAACCCCGACCCCAGCCGTGCCTGCTCTGCCCCTGGCTGTTGGCTGGGCTGTGTGGCGCTTCTGAGAGGCTCCTAAGAATAGCTGGGAACAAATGCCATCGACACTGATATCTGCCCTCTGCTGCGCCCATAAATGGACTGTAACCCTACACTGTGCCCGCCCGTCCAGGCCTCCGAAGCAGTCCACCGTGACTCATACGGCTAATATAGCCCCTGGGGAGGGGTGTCCAGCACCCAGCACCCCGGGGGCAGGACGGGGACTGGCCAGGTCAGTGACAATGCTCTCGCCTCCCTCTCTCCCTTCCTTGCTCCCTCTACCTGGAGAGCAGGACGCACGCTTTCTCCCCGGCTGCACCACCCCTGGCCCAGAAGACGATAGCTGAGCCCCTTGGGCAGGGCATTGGGACTCTGGTTACGCTGCCCTGTGCTCTCTGGTGAAAGGCTGTACCTTGTGTGGCATGGAGCCCTGGTGGCCCTCAGGGCAGGTGAGCCTCCCGCTGGCCTGCGCGGAGCCTCAGTTCCGGAGACCCGTAACTGGCCCGAGGTGGTGCAGGCCCAGCAGCGATCGTCATGCTGGCCTGCGTGGCTCAGTGCTTAGAGTGTCAGCCCGCACCAAAGAGTCTCGGGTTTGACTCCTGGTCAAGGGCACGTGTCTGGGTTATAGGTTCAACCACTGGCCCCAGTTGGTCAGGGCACATGTGGGAGATAGACAATTGATGTTTTTCTCTTTCTCCCCCCCCCCCCCCCCCCCCCCCCCTTTTTTAAAAAAAAGAAAAAAAAAACAC